AGGTCACGTGACTTGTGTGGCACCCCCCCAACCCAAATTTGGGGACATCTTGGGGGGATCTCCTGGTGGCAACTGGTAGCGGGGTGGAGGGACAGCTGGTTGGCGTGGGGTTGGTGGGGAGCAAGGATGGTGTGGTGGCACCGTGGTGGTCTCTTTCCCCATGGGATGCCCACTTGGGGACATCATGGTGGCATCAAGGGTCTTTGTCCCCATGGGACGCCCACCTGGGGACATCATGGTGGCACCAAGGGTCCTTGTCCCCATGACACACCATGTTGGGGACATCATGGTGGCACCAAGGGTCTTTGTGCCCATGGGACACTCAGATGAGGACATCATGGTGGTACCAAGGGTCCCTGTCTTCATGGGATGCCTACTTGGGGACATCATGGTGGCACCAAGGGTCTTTGCCCCCATGGGACACCCACCTGGGGACATCGTGGTGGCATCAAGGGTCTTTGTACCCATGGGACACCATTTTGGGGACATCATGGTGGCACCAAGGGTCTTTGTGTCCATGGGACACAGTGTTGGGGACATCATGGTGGAACAACGGGTCCTTGTCCCCATGGGATGCCTGGTTGGGGACATCATGGTGGCACCAAGGGTCTTTGTCCTCATGGGACACCCACTTGAGGACATCGTGGTGGCATCAAGGGTCTTTGTACCCATGGGACGCCCACTTGGGGACATCATGGTGACACCAATGGTCTTTGTCCCCATGGGATGCCCACTTGGGGGACATCATGGTGGCACCAAGGGTCTTTGTACCCATGGGATGCCCACTTGGGGACATCGTGGTGGCATCAAGGGTCTTTGTACCCATGGGACACTCAGTTGAGGACATCATGGTGGCACCATGGTGGTCTCTTTCCCCATGGGATGCCCACTTGGGGACATCATGGTGGCACCAGGGACCCTCTCCTCATGGGATGCCCACCTGGGGACATCATGGTGGCACCAAGGCTCCCTGTCCCCATGGGACGCCCATGCTTGGTGACACCTAGTCATGGCCATCGTGGTGGCACTTGTACTCCTTGTCCCCATGGGATGCCCACTTGGGGACATCGTGGTGGCACCATGGTGGTCTCTGTCCCCATGGGACACCATTTTGGGGACATCATGGTGGCATCAAGGGTCTTTGTCCCCATGGGATGCCCATTTGGGGACATCATGGTGGCATCAAGGGTTCTTGTCCCCATGGGACACCCACTTGGGGACATCATGGTGGCATCAAGGGTCTTTGTGCCCATGGGACGCCCACTTGGGGACATCATGGTGGTATCAAGGGTCCTTGTGTCCATGGGACACAGTGTTGGGGACATCATGGTGGCACCAAGGGTCTTTGTACCCATGGGATGCCCAGTTGGGGACATCATGGTGGCACCAAGGGTCCCTGTCTCCATGAGATTCCTGGTTGGGGACATCGTGGTGGCATCAAGGGTCCCCGTCACCATGACATGCCCAGTTGGGGACATCATGGTGGCATCAAGGGTCTTTGTACCCATGGGATGCCCACTTGGGGACATCGTGGTGGCACCATGGTGGTCTCTTTCCCCATGGGATGCCCACTTGGGGACATCATGGTGGTACCAAGGGTCTTTGTCCCCATGGGATGCCCACTTGGGGACATCATGGTGGCACCAAGGGTCCCTTGTCTTCATGGGATGCCTACTTGGGGACATCATGGTGGCACCCATGGGATGTCCCCATGCTTGGTGACACCTAGTCATGGCCATCATGGTGGCCCTTGGCCTCCTCATCCCCACAAGATGCCCGTGCTTGGGGCCACCCAACTGGGGCCATGACGGAACCACCTTGTGCTCCCCGTCCAAGCTCACCAGTTGGGTTGTCCCCTTTCCCCCTCGATGTCCCCCGAGGCCACCGGGGTGGTCCCCTACCTGGGACTTCTCCACGGAGGCGGTGTGTTTGTCGCACATGGGGCTGATCTCCATCCCCCGCTCCCGCTCCCGGTCGCCCTGGCGGAAGAACTCCTCCATGATGCGCTCCGTCCACTGCCGGTAGAGCGCCAGCGGCTTGGTGGGGTTGCTCAGGTCCGCGCAGTGCACCATGTTCCTCAGGACCTGCCCAGGACACGCGCGCCGTCCCGTCACCTGCTGGGGTGGGGCACCCATGGAGTCCCACCCGGCCAACCCGTGGTGGTACCACCGGAGACCCATCTGGTCAACCCATGGTGGCACCAAGGGCAAGTTCTGCCTGGTCAACCCATGGTGGCACCAAGAGCAGGTTCTACCTGCCCAACCTGTGGTGGCACCAATGGAGTCCCAACCAGCCAACCCACGGTGGCACCATCAGAGACCCATCTGGTCAACCCATGGTGGCACCAAGGGCAAGTTCTGCCTGGTCAAACCATGGTGGCACCACCAGAGATCCACCTGGTCAACCCATGGTAGCACCAAGAGCAGGTTCTACCCGCCCAACCCAAGGTGGCACTGATGGAGTCCCACCCAGCCAACCCATGGTGGCACCACCAGAGAACCATCTGGTCAACCCATGGTGGCACCAAGGGCAAGTTCTGCCTGGTCAAACCATGGTGGCACCACTGGAGACCCACTTGGTCAACCTGTGGTAGCACCAAGAGCAGGTTCTACCTGCCCAACCCATGGTGGCAACTGATAGAGTCCCACCTGGTCAACCCGTGGTGGCACCAAGAGCAGGTTCTACCTGCCCAACCCAAGGTGGCACCGATGGAGTCCCACCTGGTCAACCCTTGGTGGCACCACCAGAGACCCACCTGGTCAACCCAAGGTGGCACCACCAGAGACCCACCTGGTCAACTCGTGGTGGCACCACCAGAGACCCATCTGGTCAAGCCATGGTGGCACCAAGGGCAAGTTCTACCTACCCAACCCAAGGTGGCACCACTGGAGTCCCACCTGGTCAACCCATGGTGGCACCACCAGAGACCCATCTGGTCAACCCATGATGGCACCAAGGGCAAGTTCTACCTGCCCAATCATCGGGTTGGTGGGACCCATCAAGGGGTTGGTTGGACCCATTGTGGGGTGGTGGGACTCATCGTGGGTTGGTGGAACCCATGGGGTGGTTGGTTGGACCCATCATGGGGGTGGTGGGACCCATCGTGGGGTTGGTGGGACCCACCACGGGGTGATGGAACCCATGGGGTGGAAGGACACGTCCAGCCTGCCCTTGACACGCACCCCTCACCCATGGCAGGGTTGGGGGGACCCACTGAAGGGTCGGTGGGACCCATTGTAGGGTTGGTGGGACCCATCGTGGGGTTGGTGGGACCCACCACAGGGTGATGGAACCCATGGGGTGGTTGGTTGGACCCATCATGGGGTGGTGGAACCCATGGTGTGGTTGGTTGGACCCACCACGGGGTGATGGAACCCATGGGGTGGTTGGTTGGACCCATCACGATGTGGTGGGACCCATCACAGGGTGAGGCCTGAAGATGGTGACATCGATGGAGGGTGGGTGACAGGGGTGGGGGGGTTGGACTGGGTGACCTTCCAAGCTCCTTCCCACCCAACCCAACCCCACCCC